CCTCCTCCTCCTCCTCCATTCCTTCTCCTTCTAAACAATGTCTTTTTGCGCACCCCGAGGCCAGTTCTGGGGGCGGTCCGAGCGTTTCGCCTGAGACTTCCCGACCACGTACGAACATAATGATTAAACATTCGCAACAATTTCACTGACGGAGGGCGGGCCGTTTTCAAACTGTGGCTCTCGCCTTAGCGCCGCGCGCAGTCGTTTTTTCAATGCAAGAGCTTCACGGATCAAGGGCCACCCGTTTCTTACATGTGGCTCTCGCCCTAGCGCCGCGCACATTCGTTGTTAACATTTGCAAGAGCTTCACGGGTTGAAGGCGGTTGCATTTCAAAATGTGGCTCTCGCCTCAGCGCCGCGCACCTCCGATTTCAAACTTTGCAAGAGCGTCACGGGTTGACGGCGGTTACTTTTCAACATGTGGCTCTCGCCTCAACGCCGCGCACCTCCGTTTAAACTTCGCAAGAGCTTCACGGGATTGAGGGCGGCTCCTTTTCAGACTGTGGCTCTCGCCTTAGCGCCGCGCACCATCGCCTTAAACATTTGCAAGCGTTTCACGGGTTCCCATGATCAACGTACCAGACATGGCGTGTTGGAAGGTTTCAGGATTGTGAGGGTGCAGTAGTTATGCTGATTCGCGGTGCTGAAGTCCCAAGAATGTCTTTCTGGCACGATTCAGGACCGTCAGGACGCAACCGTCAGGTTGATCCGTGGCGTTGGGATCCCGAGACACATTTGTGGCATGCTTCCGGGTCTTCAAACGGTTGTCTTCCAACGAGGCAGTTCCCTCAGTGGGAATGAATCCTTGTAGGGGGACCTTGGAGGGAGGAGTTACTCCAACACCGTTGAATAACTCTTGGCTTTACTCTGGTCCTCCTCCTCCTCGTCCTCCTCCTCGTCCTCCTCCTCCTCCTCCTCGTCGTCCTCCTTCTCCTCCTCCTCCTCATCCTGCTGCTGCTGCTCCTCCTCCTCCTCTTCCTCCTCCTCCTCCTCCTCCACCTCTTGCTCCTCCTCTCCTCCTCCTTTCTTGCTCCTCCTCCCTCCTCCTCCTCTACTCCTCCTCTCCTTCTCCTCCTCCTCCTCTCTCCTCCGCCCCCGCCTCCTCCTCCTCCTCCTCCTTCTCCTCCCTCCTCTTCTCCTTCTCCTCCTCCTCCTCCTCCTCCTCCTCCTCCTCCTCCTCCTCCTCCCCCTCCTCCTCCCCCCTCTCCTCCTCCTCCTGTTTCTCCTCCTCCTCCTCCTGCTCTTCCCCCTCCTCATCCTCCTCCTTCTCTATTCCTACCACAGCTCGGGGCAGGTGACACCTCTGCATCCGCAGCCTTGCGGTCGAGACTCCTCTGCCGCCCCCCCCCCCCGCACATGCAGGGCGGCCCTGCGCCGACCCACGCACGGAACGTGCCCATGGGACTTGCGCATCCGTGGGATCACGCCTCGGTGGCCAGCTCGCGAGGGGCAGCCACAGAGGAGGATCGAGGATGATTGATTGAGGAGGAGGGGGAGGAAGAGGAGGAGGAGGCGGAGGAGGAGGAGGAGGAGGAGGACGAGGAGGAGGCAGAGGCGGAGGCGGAGGAGGAGGAGCAGCAGTAGGAGAAGGAGGAGGAGGAGGAGGAGGAGGAGGAGAAGAGTACCAGTGTAAACCCAAGGGCGAGGACGCGGAGGAGAAGGAGGAGGAGGAGGAGGAGGGGGGGAGGAGGAGGAGGAGGAGGAGGAGGAGGAGGAGGAGGAGGAGGAGGAGAGAGGAGGAGCGGAGGAGGAGGGAGGAGGAGGAGGACGAGGAGGAGGAGGAGGAGGAGGAGGAGGAGGAGGAGGAGGCGGGGGGGCGGACGTGCTCGGCGCGCGGGGTGTCGGCCTCCCATGCTGCGGCCCCTCCGTCCCTGGGGGTTCAGGGCCGCCCCGCGGGTCCCGGCGAGGATCAGCTTCTTCTTGTCGCTCGACCTAGGCCCGAAGCCCCATCGCATGTTGTAGGTGTCGCGCTCCTCGGGGAGGAGGGATGCGGCCGCGAGGGAGGAATGGAGGGCGGGGGGGGAATGCCAGGGGGGGGAAGGGAGGGAAGGAGAGGCGTGGGGTGGGGAGGAGGAAGAGAGGATCAGGACTTGCCAGTTGTCTGTTGGTTTGGGAAGTCTCGGGGGGTGGGGGGGGGTCTGGGGCGTCCCGTGTGCTCCCCTTGGCTTCATTTGTTTTTTGCGGTTTGCAGAGTTCTCTGGAGTGAAAAGGAAAAGGCAGGACGTGGTGGGAGTAGGGGGGATGATCAGGACGATAGGGCTTAAACTTTCTTGCGCAACTGATCTCTTGAGCTCGGAAACCTTGCTGGTCGCTCGTCGTCGTCGTCGTCGTCGTCGTTCTTATCCTGTTGTTGCAACCATTTCGACTTCCCTGGAACCCCCACTCGCCGTGCCCTACCCCGCCCCTGTCCCCCCCACCCCCGCGGGTCCCCCACTCAACATGCATCCAAGACGGACCACGTACGAAGGACTCCGAGATGCCCAACGGGCCATAATGACGCCCCGTGAGGCCCCAAGACCGCATCCGAGCACTCTCAATACAGTTCGCGGAACGCTTTTCCAGTAATGAAGATCGACGGGGGATGAGGCTGGAGGAGGGGAAGGAGGAGGAGGAGGAGGAGGAGGAGGAGGAGGAGGAAGAGGAGCGACAGGGAGGGATGAAAAGGAGGAGGGGGAGGAGGAGGAGGAGAAATAGGACGAGGGTGGACGCCCACCGCTCTGAGCTGGCGGCCGGCCACTCCCGCGGCAGACCTGCAGCGCCCTCCACAGGGAGATGCTGCGCGCTGCTCTCGGGCGCTGGGCCGGCGCATCCCCTCGCCTCGCCGCAACGACCGCCAGTGCCACGGCCGCGGCCGGAGACCAGGACCCCCACCACGCCCCAGCGGTTGTTGTCGACGGCGGGAGGGGACGAGCGGAGCCCAACCTCCTCCTCCTCCTCCTCCTCCTCCTCCTCGCCCTCCTCCTCCTCCTGCTCCTCCTCCTCCTCCTGCTCCTCTTCGTTCTCTCCCTCCCCATCCCCCTTCTCCTCCTCCTCCTCCTCCTCCTTCTCCTCCTCTCCTCCCCCCTCCTCCTCCTCCTCCTGCTCCTCCTCCCCCTCCTCGTTCTCCCCCTCCCCCTCACCCTCACCCTCCTCCTTATTCTACTCCTCTCCTCCTCCTCCTGATCCTCCTCCTCCTCCTGATCCTCCTGATCCTCCTCCTCCTCCTCCTCCTCCTCCTCCTCTTCCTTCTCCTCCTCCCCTATTCCTTTTCCTGCTAAATAATGTCTCCCTGTCGCAACCCGAAGAAAGTGTTTAGGGCGGGCCGGGCGTTTCGCCTGAGACTTCCTCATTCCTCACCATGTCCCTGAAGCTGAAACATTGACGACAGCTTCACTGATGGAGGGCGGGTGGTTTGCAAAATGTGGCTTTCGCCTTAGCGCCGCGCACATTCGTTTGTTTTATCTGTTTGCAAGAGTTTCACGCATTGAGGGGGGCCCGGTTTCAAAATGTGGCTTTCGCCTTAGCGCCGCGCACATTGTCATTAAGCATATTTTCAAAATGTGGCTCTCGCCTCAGCGCCGCGCACATTCATTTACAACACGTGCAAGAGCTTCACGGATTGAAGATGTTTTCTTTTCAAAATGTGGCTCCCGCCTCAGCGTCACGCACATTTTGTTGATACATGTTGCAATCGTTTCACGGATCCCCATGATCGAGGTATACCAGAATTGATGTTTGGAAAGATTCCAGATTTTGCGGGTGCAACAGTTACGTTGGCTCGCGGTGTTGAGGTCCTAAGAACGGCACGATTCAGGATCGTCAAAACGCAACCGTCAGGCCGATCCGTGGCGTTGGGGTCCCGAGAACAATGGTTTGGCATGCTTCAGGGTCTTCAGAAGACTGTCTTCCAACGAGGCAGTTCCCTCAGTGGAAATGAACCGTTGCAGGGGCCTGCGAAGAGGAAGCCTGGAGGGAGGGTTCATTCTAAGATCGTTTGTGACTCTTGGGTTTACACCGGTCCTCCTCCTCCTCCTCCTCCTCCTCCTCCTCCTCCTCCTCCTCCTCCTCCTCGGCGGCAAGAGAGGACGAGCGGACTGCGGCCCGAGCTGCAGCCAGGCCACAGAGGCGCTGCACTGATGCACTGAGCGGACGCGCGGGATGAGACAGACAGACGGCCGCAGACCACCACAGACCACCACCACCCCCACAGCAAGCCACCCTCGGCGACCAGCGACCACCGAGGCCAGCACCAGTGCCACAGGTCCACCCTGATGCCCGCGCGTCGAGGAGAAAGAACGACGGAGGGTGCTCTTCAGTGCTGCAGTGCTCGGCCTCCCCGGGGCCCTCGTCGGGCCCCGCGGGGCCCGTCAGGAAGCAACTCGGGGTGAGAGGCTCGTCTCTGGGAAGGGGCGCCCAGGCCTGGCCACGCGGCAAAACGTCACCGCGTCGGGCGCCTGGCTCCGTGGCCTCGCGGGCCTTGGCCGCTCGGCAGGGGGCCGCCCGGATGCGGGGCGGCTGCTGCGCGAATGTGCTCCGCGAGTGGAGCACACCCGCGGCATCGCGCACCCACACGACCGCGCTCCGGAGACCCAAACCGCCGACTCGCAGGCAGGACGGGCTCAGGCAGGGAACCAGGGTATTCGGGAGGTCTCCGTGGAGTGGGCGGGGGGGGGGCTCCTGGACGTTCTGAGAGGCGCTGGATGATTGACCAAGAAAGGACCCCTAACCCTTTGGGAGGGGACCTGAGTTAGGAGGGCCAACGCGAGTAGAAGCATCATCATCATCATCCACCTGCTGATCCTCCTCGTGCTCCTCCCTCATTGTCCTCTTCCTCCCCCCCTCCTCCCTCGTCCTCCTCCAGCAGTGTCGCCAACATCCACACGCCCCCCTGGTTGAAAACGGTATCTGCGTGCGCCCCCACGGGAGCAGATCAGCCTTAGCAGCGATCCCCAAACGCATCCCATACCGAAATTCGGTGAATTGCCACCCCCCTTTCGGCCAGCCGAGCTCCATGATCACACGCTTGATAACCGCCACAACGCCGTGGTCCACAGACGAGATCACCGCTGTCGTCATCTGGGCGATGCCTGTCGCGATCGCTTCGCCCTTCGTGGTCATCATGACGATCTCGGAGCCCACTTCGATATTTTTGTCGAAGCGCAGGACCCCAGGGATCATCAACTGCGCGCCGTAGCAAATGGCGTTGACGGCACTGTCCTTGACCACGAGGCGCGGGTACGTCGTGAGGAGAAACTCCAGAGGAATCACCACGCGCCGAATGTACTTCTCGTCGCGCAGGTTCTCATACATGAACTGGGCATCGAGGACATCATGCATCGTGGCCATGTACTTGTTCTCGTCCAGCACCCCAGAGCGCACGCGACGCAGCTCCGCCATGTGGGCTCCCACGCCCAATATGAGGCCCATGTGGACGCACATCGTCCGGATGTACGTGCCCGCCTCACAGGATGTCCAGAAAATCGCCATATGTCGCTTCGCGTTGTACTCGATGAGCTTGGCCTCGTAGATCGTCCGGACCCTCAGCTGGCGCTTCACCGCGGAGATGACGGGTGGGCGCTGGAAGCATGCCCCCGTCAGCATGTCAAGGGCCCGCTGCACCTTAGCACCGCTGCCGATGTCGGAGTGGAATCGCACGATGCAGACGTATTCCTTGCCAGCAGACTGCTGCGCTTTTACGAGGCGGGTCGCGCGATTCAGGCAGACGAGCAGACAACCCGACACCTTGGGGTCCAATGTTCCAGAATGCCCAGTCTTCTCGCACTTCATGATGCGCTTGATCCAAGACACGACCTCGTGGCTGGATGGGTTCACAGGCTTGTCCAGATTGATGATTCCGTACAGCATGTGGTCCTTGAGAGGCGCATACGACAGCGACCAACTGGACCTCTCAAAGGGCGCAGTCTGACCAGATTCCGGAACGAATCCACCCGTGGCGGCGAAGTTGCCCCTTAGAACGCCCAACGGGCCGAAAACGAGGGAACGGGTGTCGACATGAGCACGTATGTGGTTCTCCCCCGGCGTCCGCTATTGCCCTGCTCAAGGGAGAGCAGCCGAACGGCAGCGGCGTGTAGTGCCCGGTGCGCACCAGCATGTTGCCGTAGTTCTTGAGCAGCAGGGGCCACCGAGAGGTATCGATAGGTTTAGAGGTCTCCTCAGGGTAACAAGCATAACCATCACATGTTGGCACAAACACATTTTCATATGTACCGACCACTCACGGTATCTATAAACAACATTGAACGCCTGAAGACATATGTGAGCCAGTGTGGGCCCCAAACATTGGCTTAGTGCACTGTGAAGGTGAAACTTGTAGAAGGTATGTCGCGTAAGCTATGTGGTGTGAGCGATGGAGGTGGAAGCCATGCGGCGTAATCCATGTAATACAAACTATGTCATGCAATGTATAATGTGAGCTGGGGGTGAAAGCTAAGCGGTATGACGTGTGAGGTGCAATGGGTAGTGCAAGCTATGCAGTGCAAGCTACAAGCTACGCGGTGCCAGCTAAAGAATGAAAGCTACCACGTGCAAGCTACGTGGTGTAAGCTCAGCGCACGGGGCGCCCACGAGCGCCCACAAGGTGGGACGGGCGACAACGTGGCGCAACCTCGGCGGACCCACTCAGCGCACGGGGCGCCCACGAGCGCCCACAAGGCGGCACGGGCGACAACGTGGCACGACCTCGGCGGACCCACCCAGCGCAAGGGCCGGCCACGAGCGCCAACGAGGCTGCACGGGGCAACAACGTGGAACATTCTCGGCGGACCTACCGATGAAGTAAAAAAAAGGCAAACGATTTTCGCGGAATGAACACATATAAACTTTCTGTGCACAGGAGCGCGCTCATATGTTGTAAACTAACCGCTTGTAGCAATTCAGTACATGTAATGTGTGTTGCTGGTCTCCTCTGGCTGGATGGACAGCAGCTTGTCCTGGCCTCCTTCAGCGCCCTGCTTGTTTTTCTTCTTCTTCTGCTCCGCCATGTCCTGAAGATGGGCGACGGCATTCAGCAACCGCGAGGACGACAACGACGATGATCGTTTGAAGAACGGTCGCTCTCATCTGGTCGAGTGGCATTGCTTATGTGTCCCATGTCCTAGGCCTGCTTGTGTAACATAGTGTGGTGCGTCAACCTTCTCAGTACGCGTCCCCACCCTCTGCCACTCACACTCACACCCACTCGCACCCACGCCCACTTGCACCCACATTCACGCTCAGGCTCACCTGTGCCCAGACCCAGTCGTACTAAGACCATTCGCGCTCAGACTCACCCATACCCAGACTCACCCATACCCAGAGTCACTCGTACTCAGATGCGCATACTCAGCACACTCAGACGCAGATCCACTCGTACTCAGTTTCACGTAAACTCAGATCGCCCATACTGAGATGAACGCATGTTCAGATTCATCAAAATGCTGTCCCTGTATGCAAGTCCACTCAGACTGTGATCCACTCCTACTCAGACGCACTCATACTCGAATTCATTCAGACCCTGACTCACTCATACTCCGACATACTCACACCCAGGCTCACTCACACACAGACTCAAACTCGCTCACACGCGGACTCATTCAGCCTTAGACTCACCCGCATTGCACATTACGCACACATTCACGCATGCAACACCTCATCAGTCGTACTCATGAGCGCCGCGATGTGGCAGGCATAGCACTTGGGCACCCCAAGTGGGAGACGCCAGAGGGTATACCACGGGCCAATTCGCACCCAGGTTGCGGGGATGGCTCGAGCGAAACCCATGGCCGCTGCTGTGGAAGCGTATCATTTCAGAGCCCCAGGATCACAGCGATGCAACAGGAGTAGCTCTTGGGCATCCCAAGGTTCGCAGCGAATCGCGGACCCATTCGCGCCACGCCTCGACCGAAGAGCACCTTCGCCATTGTGGACGCGTCTCTCTCAAAAGCCCCACGACCACCGCGATGCAGCATGCATTGTACTTGGGCACCCCACGGGGGAGTCGCCAGGGGGTACATCACGGACCTGTTCTCGCCCAGATTGCGGGGATAGCTTAAGTGTATCTTTCAAGAACCCTCTGACTTCGACGATGCAGTAAACATCCGCCACCGTGCCTCTGGCCACGGAGCGGGCGTGTCCTCAGGTCCTTTGCCGAATCCTCTAAGCCTCAGTCTTCACTCCTGAGGAGCATGTAAGGGGCCCCGAGTCCGAATTCACCCCTCGTATTGTCGATTGAGGCCGAAGAAGGCTCCAAGACGGGTTAAGAGTGTTCCGAGAGGCCCCGAAGACGGTCCAAATGGGGCCCGAGACGCCCAACGACTGCATCAAGACGCCCAAGATGGCCCCAAGACGGCCCAAGAGGCATCCAAGACGCCCAAAGAGGCCTCCAAGACGACCCCCAAAAGGGCCCCAAGAGGCACAAATCATCGATTGCCCTTAGATGTATAAACGATTTTGGCGTTCTCGCCTTTTCGACTGACGCTCCAAGAGGTCCCCAAGGCCATCCCAAAACTGTCCAAAGGGGCCTCCAGAAGGGCCCCAAGGCCCAAAAAGGCCCCAAGAGGCCCCAAAACGACCCCCAAGAGGCTTCAAAACTGCCTCCAACAGGCCCCCAAGAGGCCTCCCACGAGATCCCAACGAACATAAGATAGGCTTCATACCAATAACTACTCAGGCACGGTAGCGGAATGGGCCATATGCAATTCGTAACACTTGGACCACCCAAGGGAAAGCCGCTGGAGGCTGAATCACGGGCCCGACGCGCGTCCAGGTTGTGGTGGTGTCTCTAACGAAACGCCCGTTCGCGGCTATGGACGCGTCTCTTCACAGCCTCATGATCGCCGCGATGTAGCAGGCATTGCATTTGGACCACCCAAGAGGGGTCTGCCAGGAGGTATCGCGTGAGCACGTTCACGTCCGTATTGTGGGAGATAAATATGTTTCCCTTCAGTGTCCTACGACTACCGCGTTATGGCGGTTGTAGGCGTTCTTTTGATCAGAGCCCTATGATCACAGCGATGCGGCAAGCATGGTACTTGGGTAATCCAAGGGGAACCCGCCAGAGTGTATTGCACGGGAACGTTCGCGCCCAGATTGTGGAAATGTCTCGAGCGAAGAGCTCGCTTCAGGGCGCAAGCGTGCCTAATCGAAGAACCCCGTGATGACCGCGGTGCAGCAAGCATTGCACTTGGGCCGTCGAAAGGGGAGCCGTCCAGCGGTGCATCACGGGCTTCATGACCCACTCATGCCCAGATTCGCTTGCGCGTACAGTCAAAGCACACTCGAACTCAGTCGCCCCACCTCGCTCCCACTCGAGCGTTCATACGCAAGGAGCTGGGCAGAACCGAGATCCAGATCTCTGCGCCAACTACTTATCCAAATCACTTGTATCCGCATGCTACATCTGAGAGCGTACTTCGGGGAGGGGGCCATTTTCTTCTTTCCAGCTCCGGGGTACAGCCTTAAGCTAGGAGAGGGCATGATGGCGCAGACCTCGGATCCCAAGGTGGGAAGAGGGATTCAGCACTCAGCATGTGGCGAGTCCTGCACGTGGGGGACAGGTCCCAAAGACGTGAAGAGGAAGGATCGTTCGAGGAGGGCGGAGGAGGAGGGAATGGCAGAAAAGTGAAAGGAGGGGAGGATTGGGAGGCGGGGGTCCGCTGCAGGAGATTTCAAGCTCATGAGGCCTGAACGCCACGTTCTCCCTAACAGACAGCCCGAGAGCGCACTTCCTGCGTCCCCCAACAATGCGGGTACATCTCGGGCCAGAGAGCAAGTTTGCCAATAGAAAACGGGGAGATAGCAAGCGAAAACGCGGCTCTTGAGTAGCATGAGCCGTGGGTTTGCAATTTGGGCCTTCACCGACCTGAGTCCTGAGAAAACTGCCAGGAAGTCTTGCCACGAGCACCACTCCTGAGTGCGACGACGTCTCTCGCTCGGCCGTCTCGGTATCAGGCGGGAGCCCTTGTCGTCTCAGCTGCGCCAGCACCAAGCTGAGCAATTTGCTGGGAAGACGCCTGCGAAAACACCATCCCTGAGTGTAGGCGTGGCTATGGCGTCTCGGAGCACTTCAGTCGTGAAGAGGTGCCGACCAAGAGCCACTGGCGTCATTGAGCCTTTAGAAGCTGGGATTTTGAGAGCAAGCCCACACTCGGGCGGGAGACTCGCCCTCACAGACTATACATACACCTATACATATGTATACACATGTATTTAGGCATGCATGTATGTATATTTGCATGTATGTATATATGTATGATTGCATGTCTGTCTGTCTGTCTGTCTGTCTGTCTGTCTGTCTGTCTGTCTGTCTGTCTGTATGTATGTATGTATGTATGTATGCATGTATGTATGTATGTAGGTTTTACATGTATGTACGCATGTACATGTACATACGCATGTGTATGTATCAATGTATCTATAGCTGGCATCGGAACGAGAACGCCCAGACAAACTTCCATTGATCAGCGAAGATGAACCTTTAGAGATGGGTACCCTGCGACGACGGCGACAACGACGACGACCACTATAACGGCGGTCGACCGGGAAAAGAGGGAGGGGGAGGTGCAGGAGGGAAGGCGGAGATGGGAAGAGCAGGAAGACGGAGAGGAGGGAGGCGAGGGGAGAAGAACAGGAAGGAAGGAGGGTGGGGAGAGACGCAGCAGGAGGAAGAGGAGGGAGCGAGGGAGGGAAGAGCGCGAGAGGAGGAGGAGGAGGAGGAGGAGAAGGAGGAGGAGGTTGAGGAGGACGAGGCGGGAGGAGGAGGAGGAGGAGGAGGAGGAGGAGGAGGAGGAGGAGCAGGAGGAGGAGGAAGAGGAGAAGGCGGAGGACAACGTAGGAAAAGGAGAGAAGACGGCGATAGGGAAAGGAGGAGCAAGAGGGGACGAGGAGACGAGCGTGAATAATGATGCTGCCAAACTCTGCGGAGCAATCTACAAAAAATCCGAAAGATAAGGCGAAAAACCTTTGATATTAAATAATTACCGGAGAGACAGAACGCGGCGGAACAAACGTGTAGGCGGATGGCACAACAAGGCGAACCCCGCACTGAGAGAAGACACGCACCAACAGCAGGGGCGCGCTCGGGTGAACGGGTGCGCGGATGCAGGTGATGAAGACAGCGGGCCTTTCAGGGCCCCCAATCGACAACCGGTTCCGATGGCAAGCCCGGCAGCATATGTGATGAGTAAGGTTCCATACTGACGGGGCCATCGCTGGAATACCGAGGGGCTACCGCTGCTGCAACACATGGCACGCCCCGCTCGCGAGGGACGGAAAGCGACCTCATGGGCTCGTTGGTGTCTTCGATAAGGCGGCAATTCATCCAGGTAATACAAAACGCAGACTGATAGGGGGCAACGCCGTCTATACTTCCACAGTCGATCAGCAGCGCCAGCAGCAAGAGGCCCAGGAAAGGAAGCACCAAGCGCCGCACGGCCACTGCCCTTGATGAGAAGCTCTGACTCAAACACTTCGAACTGAAACTCATCGATCTGCATGAGCGGGCCGGCGAGCTGCGACTGCAGCTGGTCCACGGCGTCAGTAATTTGCGCATGGTTTGCCTTGGTCACGAGAGTGGTCTCTTACACACGCTCGATTACAATTTAAACAAGGTGCTTAAGCTGATCGTGCAGTTTGCCGTCGACGCGAATCTCAAGGTCACTGAACTAAACTCTGACGCCATCGACCCCATCCTTGACGACGACAACCTCGTCCCACACTGCGTCGGACCCAGAGGAGGTTGCAGATACACTGCCCTCGACACTCGTAAAGTTCGGCGCCGCATGGCACCACCAGCACAGAGACGACTGTTTTCGGTCCAGAAGATTCTAAACACTAGGTGCATCACCTTTCTTGTCCAGCATCATTTGGAATTTGGCGATCGTGTGCTTCTGAGAAGCAAGTAAGCCAGAAGAAACGATACATTGTGAGTCGTAGATAGTTTGGACAGACGCCAGAACCTCAGGGAAATACCATACGGCTTGAGACGAAGACGGCTGAGCAGAAACAGGGACGCCTTCAAACCGTCGGGCCCAGATCAACAGCTTGCCAAACAGGGCGAAAGCGTGGAACCACCACATACGAAATGCCATGAAGACAGGACCAGCCCAGCTCGATGCTTAGTCCACGAAACCTCACCGATGAATTCTGCAATGCCCTGTTGCGCGATGCGCTCGCAAAGATAGTGTGCAACGTCGATACGGACCATATTGTAATGTAGTCTGGGTGTCAGGTTCGGCGAAGCACGTGTCGCCGCTGACAAGCCTCGGAAATGCACGCTTCGCTTGCGCGCCAGACCACGCAGACGCCGCGTGCGTAGCGACGGGACTACGACATCCATCGGCGACGACATTAGAATCAGCCTGGCGAACAAAAAAAACTATCTGCAGTTGTGGGCATCGTCGTTGTCTGCACCGCGTCTGGTAGAGCTCCCTATGGGGCTACCAAACGTGTGAAGTGGCGTGCCAAATGGGCGCGGTGGGTGCATGCGAACACTGGCATGTGGGCCTTCGGTGGGGCTCCCTGTGGGGTCACGAAACGTGTGAGGGGCGTGCCAAAATGGGCACGGTGGGCGCATGCGGACGCTTGCATTTAGGCCTTCGGTGGGGCTCCCTATGGGGCCACGAAACCTGTGAAGGGGCGTGCCAAACTGGGCGCGGTGGGCGCATGCGAACACTGGCATGTGGGCCGTCGGTGGGGCTCTCTGTGGGGCCACGAAGCGTGTGAGGGGTATGCCAAACTGAGCGCGGTGGGCGCACGCGAACCCTGGCATTTGGACCTTCGGTTGGGCTCCCTGCGGGGGGGTGTGGGAGCGCAAAACGTGTGAGGGGCGTGCCAAAATTGCCAAAATTGGTGCGGTGGGCGCATGCGAACGCTGGCATGTGGGCCTTCGGTGGGGCTCCCATATAGGCCACGAAACTTGTGAGGGGCGTGCCAAAATGGGTGGCGCTTGCGAATGCTTGCATTTGGGCCTTCGGTGGGGTTCCCGGTAGGGCCACGAAACGACTGAGGGGCGTGCCTAAACTGGTGCTGGGCGCATTCGAACGCCGGCAATTGGGCCTTCGGTGGGGTTCCCGGTAGGGCCACGAAACGTCTGAGGGGCGTGCCAAAATGGGTGCAGTGGGCGCATGGGGACGCTTGCGTTTGAGCCTTCGGTGGGGCTCCCTTTGGGGCGACGAAACGTGTGATGGGCGTGCCAAACTGAGCGCGGTGGGCGCATACGAACGCGGGCATTTGGGCCTTCGGTTGGGCTCTCTATGGAGCTACCAAACGTGTGAGGGGTGTGCCAAAATGGGCGGGGTGGGCGCCTGCGAACGCTGACATTTGGGTCTTCGGTGAGGCTCCCTGTGGGGCCACGAAACGTGTGAGGGGTATGCCAAAACTGTCGCGGTGGGCGCATGCGAACGCTGGCATTTGGGCCTTCGGTTGGGCTCCCTGTGGGGCCACAAAACGTGTGAGGTGTGTGTGTGTGTGTGTGTGTGTGTGTGTGTGTGTGTGTGTGTGTGTGTGTGTGTGTGTGTGTGTGTGTGAATGCCACAATTGTTGCGGTGGTTGCATGCAAATGCTGGCATTTGGGCCTGCCCCAAAATGTGTGAGCGGCGTGCCAAAACTGGCGCGGTGGGCGCATGCGAACGCTGGCATGTGGGCTTTGGGTGGGGCTCCCATATGGGCCACGAAACTTGTGAGGGGCGTGCCAAAATGAGTGGGGGCTCTCCGTTCCACTTCGATCTCACCCCCTCACCTCCGACTGTTACGCTGGATGCGAGCTGGCCCCTTTCTGTTCGAGTTGGGCCATGGCCTGCTCGGCTGCTGCTTTAGTAGCTTCCCGAACCTCCTCCGCCCTCTCGATAGGATCCCCAGAGAGCTCACCACCGCCAGTAAGTCTACTCCGGAAAACCCAAAGAAACATAACATGTTCGGTAACCCACTGCTGGACCATGGGAGCACCATGCGAGCCAGGAGGGGCCCGAACTAGATAGACAGGTACCTGATCCGACAGCGTGCGGGCGTCGGTTGCGCAGCCAGGCTTGCCAGAGCTAGGGACAAAGTCGAGCAGCAGCCCAGCCGGGACCGAGGTGTAGATGAGATCGGGACGAGAGACGGATGGGACCACGGACTGCCTACCCTGAAACCCTTTCGACGCGGCAAGTCGAATGAGGCTGCTCGGCTTCTATCATCTGCGGGAACTGTTCAATGAAGAAGTAGCTGGCCAGGCGGTGAGACGGATGGATTGGCCTCCCTCCAACATGCCAGCTGCCTCCGACTACATATGGGAGGTTGACATCCCGGGACATGTATGCCGTGCACGGAGGCAGGCACGACTGCACGACAGTTGTGTCTCATGAATCCGAGCCGAAACCCAGGATCGCAATGGAGATAGATGGCCTGGATGGCGTGCGTAGCGTTGTGCAAAACTATGGTGTGGATACGCCCGCGTGCGATACCTCTATGATGCCTGTGCTGAAGCGGTGCTCGAAGTGCATGGTTATATATATATATATGACATATACAGGTGTATGTGAGACATCCACCAGAGTGTGGGTTGTCGAGGGAGGTCGAGAAACCACTGAGCTTGCTAACCTCACGCTCCGACGCTTTGAAGCACTCGTGCGTCCCGCGAGCCCCTTGTATGCACACGATGCCATGTTTGGGAATCAAAGCGACGAGCTGTATGTCCGTTGCTTTGTGGGTGTGCTCCGGGGCGCATGTGGCTCCCAAAAAGCGAACGATCGTTCCAAGATGCCATCGAGAATTTGCGATCTGTGGGTAAAAACACACACAACACACAACAGACACGCAAAACAACATAACAAAACCACACTCTGTGTTTTTGTTTGTTTTATGTTTTTGTGTGTGTGTGTGATTTGTGTGTGTGTGTGTGTGTGTGCTTTTTTACCCTGTGTTTCTTACCCGCAAATGCGGCATGCACTGGGCTGGCTGATCAGCGGAGGAGGAAGCGCCACCCCGTCTGCTGCCCGCCCCGCTGCTGCTGCTACTCCTGCTCCTCCCGTCCCAGGCCTTGTCGCCCTTGGGGTGCTCGCCGAAGGAGGAAGAGGAGGAGCAGGAGGAGGAGGAGGAGCAGGAGGAGGAGGAGGAGGAGGAGGAGGAGGAGGAGCAAGAGGAGGAGGAGGAGGAGGAGGAGGTGGCGGGAGGAGCAGGAGGAGGAGGGAGGAGTAGCAGGAGGAGGAGGAGGCGGGAGGAGGAGGAGGAGGAGGAGGAGGCGGGAGGGGCAGGAGGAGGAGGAGCAGGAGGAGCAGGAGGAGGAGGGAAGAGAAGAGAGGCCAGAGGGAGGAGGAGACCGCGGCGGCGGCGTCGCCGGAGCCTGGCCGTGCAGCACCGCCCGCGGCGGGGCGTCCGCGAGTCCCTGCGGCGTCGAGGCGGCGCGGCGCGCCTGGGGCAGCTCGCCCCCGCGCGCGCGCCGCGCGCGGTCCGCGCGCGCGCGCCGCGAGGGCCAGCGGGGCGCGGACACCTCGAGGCCGCGGGGGGGCTGCGGAGCGGCACGCGCGGCGGCACGGCACAGAAGCCACCGTCGTGGCCACCGCCATCAGCACCGTCATGGCCAACACCGCCAGCATCCTCATCGGCAGCAACAGCGGCACCACAATCTCCATCACAGACCCCGCCGTGGCGGCCTTCGTCATCCCCCCTGTTCCTCCTCCTTCTCATCCTCCTCCTGACCATCATAATCAGCAGTAGCATCAGCATCGTCAGCAGCATCAGCATCAGCATTCGCATCAGCATCAGCACTGGTATCAGTCTCATCATCATCATCATCATCATCATCATCATCATCATCATCATCATCATCATCATCATTATCATCATCATCGTCATCATCATCATCATCATCATCGTCATCAACATCGTCATCATCAGCAGCATCATCAGTATTCTCATTATTATGGTTATCGTCGTCATCATCACCATCACCATCACCATCATCATCAGCAGCGTCATCATCATCACCAACAGCAACATACTCGTCATCACCGTGTCGTCGTCGTCTTATACAGAAAGATAAAACGCAACATGAACCTCGTCGTCGTCATCATCATCATCACCATCATCATCATCATGGGCATCATCACTCTCATCACCCTCGAACTCACCACCACCACCATCGTCACCAATACCATCATCGTCATCATCACCATCACCATCACCATCACCATCTCCATCACCATCACCATCACCATCACCATCACCATCACCATCATCACCATCATCATCATCATCAGCATCATCATCATCATCACCACCACCATCACCATCACCATCACCATCACCGTCACCATCATCGCCGTCAACATCAACATCACCTCATCATCCTCGTCATCCATATCACCACCACCGTCCGGAGAACGCGACGGGCGCGGTGCTCGGAGAGGCGCCCGCGGGTGGGCGGCCGGGGCGGCCCCTCCGCGGCAAGGGGGGCCGCTCGCCCGCGCGGGGGGGGCCGCGGGCGCTGGGCCACTCGCCCAGGCTCGGGAGGGCGGCCACGGGCGGCCACGGGCGGCCGGGGCTGCCCCTCGTCGACGGGGCGCAGAAGGACACACACACACACACACAGGCAAGCGCGTTCCACCAGTCGCAAAATAGCTGCTCGCAGACGGCCTGGATCCGCCACGGGCAGTGCACGACGCATCACATCGACGCAGGCATGTGTTCTTTTTTTTTTCTGACGTTTGCGAGTGGGCTCTTTGCGAGTAGTGGAGCGCGCTTGGAAAATACATCCAGTCGAGGTTGATTGGAGAGGACGCGCGAGAGGACACGAGACCCTCCCGAGGGCCGCTGTGCGAAAGGGATATAGAAGGCGTGGGTCGCGAAACACAGAACATCAAGGGTGCCCTCTGTTTGGCAGGGTCGACCTGCCAATCCACCTCGACTGGGTACTAATACGATAAGTCCCTAGTGCAGAGGCACGTCCGACCCGAACCTTCAGGGCAATTTTCAATACATGGGATTTAAAACATATAGGATTTGTGAGACATGCTTAATGTATGAATAAACTTACGCACGAATCCATCATTGCTTGTAATACTAAATCCCTGCATGTTTAATACATGATCCGCACGCGGAGCATGTATTAGAAACGGCACTGTATGGCAAACCATCTTGTAGTATATCGTCTCCCGAGCGGCATGGCCAGAACGAGCCCGCCACGAAGCTCGTACTCCGCCGACCCTGCCGGCGCGTGCGCGGGAGATCTCTGGGCTTGTCGTCTTCGGAGCACCCTTTGGCGTTCTCTTGGGCGCGCCCACCTCATTAGCCTCTGTTGAGGGGCAACGATAGGGGGGGGGTAGGCATCTGGGGGGGAAGCATCGGCCTGGAATCGGCGATGCATCGCCGATAGATCGGCGATAGGCCTCCGATAGTGAGTCCGCAGCTTCCTGGGCAGGTTGGGGCTATCGGGCTCCTATCGGCGATCCATGGGCGACGGGGGGTCGATGCACCCCCCAGAGTGCCTATCCCCCCCTATCGTTGCCCCTGATCTGTGGCGCGCCAAGCTCGCCAACTCGAGGCGACTCCAGCCAGGTCGTGATCGAAGTCGTCATTGCGTCGAGAGGGAGCCCCCCTCCCTGAGATGCCTTCCCCGCCTGGAGGGGGGGGGGCCTGGGAGGGCGGGAAGTCGGTCCCCGTCCCGGAAGGGGCTCCAGGGGGGGGGGGCCTGGCCGGGGCGAGGGGTCCCGGGTGTGAGGTCAGGAGTGCGCCCCCACCCCTCTCGTTTGGCCGCCTTCGATCGAATCTGGCCCTCCTTCGGCAGATCAGGTCCAAGATGCTCCAGGAGGGGCCCAAGAGTGCCCAGAGTCGTCGAAAGATTGCTCCGGGGCGCCCTTGTTGGCCCCCAGACGGTCCAGGCCGCCTCCAAGACGCTCCTAGAGGCCCACCAGAGCACTCCCAACAGGGCCCCAAGAGGCAAAATGCATTGAATCCCCGTTGGTTCTGGACAGACTCTAGCGTTTCTGCCTTGTCGGGTTCCCGACGCTCCGCCCAGAGACAACCTGCGCGGCCGTCAAGATGGCGCCCGAAGACGACCCAACACGGCCCCCAAGACGGCCCAGGAGGCCTCCAAGACGCCCGAAGAGGGGCCCAGAGGGCGAACAAGAACCGACAGTTCAAGCTCACCGCCGTAAGAGACTCCCAGGAGGCCCCAAAAGGCTCCCAAAAGGCCCCCAAGAGGCTCCAAGAGGTCCACAAGAGGCCCCCAGGAAGCTCCACGATGCCCACAAGAGGCTCCCAAGAGGCTCCCAAGCGCTCTTTAAACTGCCTCCAGAGGCCCCCGACAGCCCTGCGAAGAGAATGCCAAGAAGCATCCATGAGGATTCTGACCCACTACCCAGGCACGGTGGCGGGATGGATGGGCCAGAGGCCACTAGCTAATCCAAGAGGGGCATGAACTCGCCCGAGTGTCCCAACAGAGCCCTCAGGGGACCCCCACAGAATTCCAAGCAAGCCCTCGACAGAATCATACCAGGAACCTTTGGTATGACACTGTTGCGGGCTGTTTCGGGAGCCCTCATGGGGCCTCAGAACCTCTTGATGCCCTTTGGGCCCCCTCTTCAAGCAGATTGCGGCTCTCAGATAGCCCAGGGGGGGCTCCAAGAAGCCCCCAACAGAGCCTGGAGAGAGCTCCAAGAGGGTTCTCAGTTCCCCAACAAGGCACGGTGGCGGGATGGGCCGCAGGCCTTTAGATAATCCAAGAGGGGCCTGAAATCGCCCGACCGCCCCACAAGAGCCCCCCGAGGGCCTCCACAGAATTCTTCAAGAGACGATCAGGCGGCTCGACTCCCAGATGGTCAAGGATGGCGCTGCATTGCCGCCACCACGATCCAAGATGCCCTCAAAAAATGCTAAGATGACACCGTCTGACATAAGATGGCCCCAAAATGCCTCCAAGACGGTGCCGGAAGGTGGCACGAGGCCGGCCACCATAAAGTCAGAGGAGGCTCCCAAAGCCCCGAACATGCTCCCAAGAGGTCTCCTCCTCCTCCTCCTCCTCCTCCTCCTCCTCCTCCTCCTCCTCCTCCTCCTCCCACTCCTCCTTATCCTCCCTATCCTCCTTCTCCTCCTTCTCCTCCTCCTCCCACTCCTCATCCTCCTCCTCCTTGTCCCTCCCCTGATTCCCCCCCTCTTGTGCGAAAGCACATGGGCAGAAACCTTGGCCAAGCTGTGCTTCTCGTCATTCGCTTCCTGGGAGCCTCATGGGGCTTCAGAGGGACTCTTCGGGGCGTCTGATCCCAACCTTCCCGAACAACTCATGGGGTCTTCTTCCAAGGTCGGCGGCACCGGCCCTAAGGCCTTCACACTATCAGATTTCTTTGGGTCCGCGTCACCCTTGCGTGCCCGACTCGCACTCGTAGAAGTATGTTTGGGTGGTGCTGGCTCGAGAGTCTGAGCTCGTGGCCGCTGAGCACCCAGATCTCCGACGATACATGAGGGGGCCCTGGGACACACAAATAAGTACACACACAAATAACAGGATTCCCCATATTTTCCCTGCATTTTCTGGGTTTTTGTCTTCCCCCCCACTCCCCATATTTTCCTGGGAGTCGACGATTCATTGTGTCTGTGTGTTTTTTCTCCTCCTGAATACGATTTGCCTGCCGATCTGCCTGGGGGGCACGGCAGATCGACCCGGATGGATGGCGACAGCCCCTCCAGGCGCCCTCGTGGCGTCGTGTGAAGCCTCTCGCCTCGGGATGCTCCCTGGCGCCTGCGCCTCCCCGAGGGCGCCCGGACATCGCCCTGCACGACCGCTGGAGGCCGGAGCCGTGGCCCCAAAGGCTGCCGCGGGCCACGCCTCCGACGGTGTTGCTGTGCCTCAGTCCTCTGGCGCTCCGCCTCGCTGTCGGCCTCTGGGGCCCGAGACTGGGGGCCCCGGGGGCCAACAGTGGACTCGCGGGGCGACACGCCACTCCCAGGGGCAGCGGTCGGGAACTCTGAGGGTCGCGGATGGCCAAAAATCATCGTACACTCGCGAGTGCCTGGCTGGCTGGAGTGACGTGTGGCGGCACCCGGGGGGGTGGCCCTGCCAGCCTGGCCACAGCACGGCCGAGTCCTGGAAGGACATCCCGCCACACGCCTATCCAGCTCTCGCCTGGGCCCCGGCTTCCTGGCACGGCCAGTGCTTCTCGCTTTGCCCGTCGCGGCGCCGGCCCGGCGACACGCTACTAGGGGGCAAATAAACCTACCTCGCTTTTGACCACCCTCGCTTCCAAGAGATACCAAGCGATGCCAAATTACGGCCTGTACTGGTAAGGCCGCTTGACGAGGAGGCGCGTGGTATGACTTGGTTTTGCCTGGAAGCGAAAGCGCGGTAGGTCATTCACGCTCGCAGCTACGCCCTGCAAGTGGGTAGCGTGTGTCGCTCCGCTCCGCGCGAGGAAAGATCGGGACGCTGCTGCTCGGGGGCCGGCAGGCTGGTCGGTGCTTCTCGCGCCGAAGCGTGGCGGGGCAGGGCCCGGCGACGCGACACGCTATAAGCCAAAATTCGTGACGAGGACGACGACGACGACGACGACGACGACGACGACGACGACGACGAGGACGAGGACGAGGACGAGGACGAGGACGAGGACGTCGACGACGACGACGACGACGACGACGACGACGACGACGACGACGACGACGACGACGACGACGACGACGACGACGCGCGGGCCCGGAGGCCCATGATGGCCGCCGACCACCCACGGCCGAGTGGCGCCGCCGCGCGCTGGCGGTTTCGTCACCTCGCCGGGAAGCTCTGCGGCCCGAGCTCCGACGGCCGCACCGCGCCCTCCAGGGAAGCCCCCGAGAGGCCACGCCCGCGCAGCTCGTCCAGCAGCTCCTCCATCGCCGCGCGCGAGGCATCCACGACGAAGGCGACTGGCTCGTACTGGGCGAGCAGCTCGGCCAGCTGGGGCAGCGAGTCGGCCAGCGAGCCGGTGCCCATGAGCGCCTGCGACAGGCCGGGCAGGGCTCCAAGCATCACCACGCTCTGCCCTGTGGACGGGCGCTGAAGCAGCACCGCAGGCCTGCCGGACACCTCCAACTCGGTGAAAACTGCCTGGCGGGGCGTCAGCACCGCGCGCAGCTCGCCATCGCCAGCGCCTAGCAGCTTGTCCTCGGTGTCGCCCAGCTCGGGCGCCGCCACGATCACCGCCACCGCGGCGAATCTCGGCTTCCCGGACGGCAACGTCTGGTCCAGCGCTGCCATAACTGCGTCGGCGAGCATGGTAGACCGCACGCCGCGGCCCTCGGTCAGCCACAGCTTTTCGAGGATCTCCAGGTCGGCGTCCTCGGGCGAGGTGGGCAGGTACTGCCGCACGTATGTGGATCCCGAGGCCCACGACCGCAGCTCCGCCGGGGACAGCTCGGCGCCCCCCAGCACCAGGGGAGTGCCAGCGGCCTTGGAGGCCTCGGCCGCGAAGCAGTACTCCAACCCGCGGACGACCTCGATATACGGAGTGATCGGGAGCGGCGCGGTTGGCACTCGCCGCAGCCCCGCCACTTGGCCGCTGGCTGGGGCGGCCGTGCTCCTCGCCGCACCAGCCAGCTGCGCGTCGGGGACTGCCGCGCTGGGGGGCAGGAAGCCGCTCCCCTCCGGGACGGCGAGCTCCGCGACGGGCTGCTGGGCGGCCTCACCGCGGCCGCCTGGGTCTTCTGGAACATCGAAGGCCACGAAGATGACCCCGGCGACGAGGGCGACACCGAGCAACCCATACAAACTGCCCTCCGGGCTCTGGGCGCCCGGCTGGGCCTTCGGCCGGGCTGGCGCCCCGGCGGCGGAGGCCTTGGCCCCCCGCCGCGCCGCGCCGCCGCGATCGCCAGCCGTGGGCGGCGGCGTCCTGTCGTAGGGGTTGTAGCCGATCTCCGCCCAAATGTCGTCCAGGTCCTCCAGCTGCTCCCTCCAGGCCTCCCCTGCCGGCGCTCCGCTGGCATCTGCACGGCTCGTGGAGGGCGCGCCGCCCCGCCTCTGGGCGCCACCGGCCTCGCGCGCGGGGGCGACGCGGCCGCGGGCGAGCAGCTCGAAGGCATCCCTGACGCCGTTCAGCCGTTTCGCGTCGCCGCCGACGCGGTCTGGGTGCCACCTCTGGGTGTCGCCACACAAGTGCCACTGGCTCAATCGGCCGAGGTGCCCCCAGGATATCTCCGGGGAGGCACAGGTGGCCTCCAGAACGCCCCTCACGAGGCCACAGGGAAGCCCCGTGGGGAGACAAAGTGGCGCGGAAAGCTGGGGGCACTGCTTCTGTGCCATGACCACTTCCCCAGACATCCGCCGATGTGATTCTTGTCAACCCGCGGCCCCAGAGGTGCTCCCGAGCGCTTCCTGGGGTGCGGCTCTTCGCCCCCGATCCACGCTTCATGGTCCTGGGGCCCAGAAGCGCCCCCCGAGGGCGCGGATCGTGGAACAACGCCCGGATCGAACAAGAATCGTATCGCCAGAAACCTGGGCCTCTGCAGGCCGCACCTCAGCACGCCCCGCCGGAACGCGGCCTTCAGCTCTGCGGCGCTGGGGCTGCTGCCCGGCGGGAGGCCCAGCGCCGCCAGCGCGGCCGCGCGGGCCCCGCCCTGCGAGAGGCCTGCGGCCGCCGCGCCACCCCCGAGCGGCGCGGCGCCGGGGCGCAGCGCCGGCCGGCCCACGCCAGCGCCACGGCCGCGGCCCACAGGGCCGTGGGCAGGCGCGCTGCGCGCGGGGGGCCGCGGCGGGGGCCGCGCGCGCTGCGGCGGGCCATGCCGCCCGAGCGCTGCGGCGGGCCATGCTGCTCTCGGCGGGCGCGGCGCCTCCGGCGGTGGCCCCGCGAGCCAAGGCGGCCAGATGGCGGGGAGCGCAGGCGGCACGCCGGCAGGGCAGGTGCCGGCCTCGCCCGCTTGGGCGCGGGCAAGATTGGAGGGGCCCTGGGACACACAAATAAATACACACGAATAACAGGATCCCCTATACTTTCGCATATTTTCGATTTTTCCGTCTTCCCCCCCACTCCATATTTTCCCATATCTTCTGGGGAATCGACGATTAATTGTGTCTGTGTGTTTCTCTCCCTCTTGAAAAATGTGAATCCAGTGTCCACGGCGTCTCTTAGACTTTGTGGACCAGGGAGGCAAGAGGCCGAGGCGCAGTGGATATGGAGACACATTGCTATCCATATATGCTCCGCGCCTCGGGTCTCTGGGGAAGGGAGACCGAGCCTCCAAGATAGCGCACGCGGATGCACATCTTGCCCGCATGGGGGCCCCTCGAGGTGAGCCAGCGTATGCAGAGGAGGTCTAGGGGGAAGGCATGCATGTAGCGAGCGCTGCGGACGAGAACCCATGACCTCCGACGACAGGACGTGTTCGATCCAGGCGCGTCTCCTCGAGTTTGGCCCCTGGGGCCCGTGTTTTTTTTTTTGTTTTTTTTTTTTTCCTTTGAGATCTCAAGAGGCGCGCGGGCTCCCAGGGCCTCGGGCGGCGCTGGCTGCGGCTGCACCCCGTGGATTATACCCTGCAGGGCCGACGCCGGCAGCACAACAGCAGCGAACCATCACCGGGCCGCAGCTGGGTGGCCGAGGGAGCAGGGATTTGGCCTTGGGCGTGGCTTTATGGGGGGGTCACAATTGGGGTCAAAAAAGGTCCCCTTTCGTGCCCCTTTCGGGTCCCTCCAGAGCCCCAGGGAGCTCGTTTAGGTACCATTTGGGTACCTTTTCGGACCACACTCGCCGCCCCCCCATTTACGATCCCCCCATTACGCAGCGCCCAATGGCCCCGGGGGCCCGATTTTCCCGGGAGCGGCCTATAAGAGGGGGGTGTCCAAGAGGGGGGGGGGGTGCAAATCATGACCGGCGGCAGGTGCGCGGCCCAGCGGGGGGGGCCAGGGACGTGAGGAAACAAGAAGAGGCGTCGTGAGATCTGGGGAGAGATCATGGCCCCCGACATGATATCCTCCCCCCCCCCCCTAGTCATCACCCCCCTCTTTGCCGCCCCGATTCTCGGGCCCCGTGGACTAGCAAGAAGGGCCCTGGGCGGAAAGCTGCCCACAGGGGAGGGGTCGGGAGCTCTGGGGTTAAGTCGGGCCTGTCCCCCTACAGGGGGATTTTCGACGAAAAATAAAAAAAATACGCCAAAAATAATCCAAAAATAGTCTGGGGACTATTTTTGGTGCATTGTCTGGCAATTTGGGGGTATTTTGAAGTACTTTGTATTTTTCGTCGAAAATCCCCTTGTAGGGGGACAAGCCCGACTGAACTCTGGGGCCGCGGGCGGACAAGACGCAGAGCGGCGGCGGCGGGGGGGCGGGGAGGAGCGGGTGACGGGCACGGGAGCCGCGCGCTCCGGGGCGGGGTGGGCCCTCGGGCCCCTGGCGGCGAGCGGTCCACGGGCGATGGGGGGGGTCCGTGCGTGCCTCCCCCGCTGGCCGGCCATGGTTCGGACGTCCATTCACAGTGCTTTTTCCAGTTTCGTGCGTGGTTTTTTCGCCGAATTATCAAGGATGCTCCTCGATGGTCCTCGCCGAAGAAAAAATGCACACGTCCGAGCGATGCCTCCCCCGAGCTGCTGTAGAAGCTCGACCACAAGGAATCTTCCACAAGGAGCCCAGCCCTGGAACCCCAGGGCGTCCACAGATTTTTGGTGTGGGGACGCCAGGCTGTCCATCGCAAAAGCATCGAGGCCCAAGAAGCTCAGGGCACCCTGGAGGCAAGCAGGGTGTTTCTTGGCATGGCTTTCCACTGATTTCCCCCCCAGCGTTGCCCGCTACGGGACCCTTTTCCATCAGGACGCCGTCCCTGACTCGGGTGTTGCTGGAAGCGCCCCTGGCCCAGAGGGCCCACAGGATCTCAAAGGAGGCCCCCCACGGCCTCTAGACCACCCCAGCACGAGGACCCGAGGGCCCCAGGGGCTCCAGAGTGGAGAAGGGAGCGGCAGGCTGGGGGCACCTTGGGCCCGGGGCACCTCTAGCACCCCCCGACTGACGCCCGCCGAACTGTGGCTCTCGATCCGCGGCGGTCGCAGGTTCGATCCAATTCTGGAGCCCCCGTGGGGCCTCTCGGGGCCTCGTGGTGCGTGCTCTGGGAGGGGTCTCTCCTTCGAAATCCTGGGGGCACCCTGGGGCCAGGGGCGCTTGTGGAACCCCCCCCGGCCGACATCCCGCCGGACCGTGGTTTTTTTTTCGTCCCGCGGCGGTCGCAGGCCCCCCCCCGAGCCCACTTTTCCTGGCCGTGGACACGTCTCTGATGGCGCCCGGGGCCCGCACACGGGCGCTCGGGGCCGAGATCCATACGGGAAAGACGCCGGGAGGAAACCGATCATGGCCCGCCCGCGACCCTCCCGCGGCCCGCCCGCAGTGCTTTCTCGGCACCTCGGCGCCTGCGGCGGGCGCGAGGGATCAAAGCATGCGGCGGGCTTCTTTTTTGTGTGCGTGCGAGCCTCGCAGTTTGGCGACGCAGGGGGGGGGCTAAGAAGGGGGCGTCCAAGAGGTGGGCTCGAAAAACATGGAAGGAACCATGTGCGCGGACGAGGGGGGGAGCAGGAGACGTATTGAGAGAAGAACAGGTGGCCATGAAACCCAGGGAGGTATCATGACCCTGGCCATGGCACCCCCCCATTTAACCATCCCTCCTATTTTGGCCGCCCCCGACCGACGACCCCCCCGTCGTCCCTCACGCTTATGCGGAGATTATAGTTCCCCACATCCAAAGTGAGGTTATCTTTTTCTGTGGACACCCTCCGCGCAATAACCTCACCTCCCTCCCACTCTCCGCCTCACTCACGCATTCACCCCGTCATCGGTCATCATCACAATCGGTCACCATCATCACCACCACCATCATCATCATACTCAGTCACTCATCATCGATCACCATCACCATCGGCCACGAATCGTCATCATCATTACCAGCCTTTCCACCACCGCCATCATCATCATCAACAACATCATCATACTCAATCGCACATCACATACAATGTCCCTCTCTCTCTCCCGCTTTCTCTCTCTCTCTCTCTCTCTCTCTCTCTCTCTCTTTCTCTCTATCTATCTATCTCACCATTCAGCATCATTCCCCACATGTGCAATGGGGTTATTGCTTTCTCTGGACGCCCCACGCAGGAACACATCACACACTCACCTACCCACTCAGTCCTCATCTGCATCATCCTCATCATCCTCATCAACCTCATCATCATCATCATCATCATCACTCATTCATTCAGTCAGTCACTCATTCACTCACCCACCCACTCGCGGAAAATATCCGGCGGGAGGCTCGTCTGTAAGTGAATTGCGAGGAGGTCTCAGGCGGGATACCTCTCCCTATAGGGCCCGATTTCACATTTCTAATCCAAACGGGTCATCCTCAAACCTGTAAGTGTCATCATTTTTGCGTTCATAAAGCCTGCATTTGGGGGAAGTGTCAGGCGGGGGGCTCGTCTGTGAGTGAATTTCGAGGAAGTCTCAGGCGGGAGTGCTTTTCCTTTGCGGCCGGCACATCACGTTTCTGATCCGAGCGCGTCGTTCTCAAACATGTAACCGTCGTCACTTTTGGGCTCCTGAGGCCTGAATATGGGGAAGTGTCGGGCGGGAGGCTCGTCTGTTAGTGAATTCCGAAGAAGTCTCAGGAGGGAGCCCTGTCCATATGGGGCCCGCATTTCACGTTTCCAATCCAAGCGGGTCATCCTCAAACCGATAACAATCGTCATGTTTCGGTTCCTGGGGCCTGAACAAAGGCAAGTAGCAAGCGGGAGGCTCGTCTGTGAGTGATTTGCAACGAAGTCTCAGGCGGGAACCGTCTCCCTATGGGGCCCGCACTTCACGCGTCTAATCCGAACAGGACATCTGCAAACCTGTAATTGTCGTCACCGTTGGTCTCCTGAGGCGTGAATACGAAGGAAATATCAGGCGGGAGGCTCGTCTGTGAGCGAATTGCGAAGAAGTCTCAGGCGGGAGCCTTCTCCTTATGGGGCCCGTGCTTCACGTTTCTAATCCGAGCGCGACCTCCTCGAACCTGTAGCTGTCGTCACTTCTGGGCTCCTGAAGCTTGGACATAAAAGAACTATCAAGCGGAAGGCTCGTTTGTGAGTGAATTGCAAGGAAATCTCAGGCGGGAGCCCTTTTCCTATGGGGCCCGCATATTATTTTCCTACTCCGGGCGGGTCATCCTCGAACCAAAGCTGTCGTCACTTTGGGGCTCCTGAGGCTGTAATATAGGGGGAATCTCCGGCGGGAGGCTCGTCTGTGAATGAATTGCGAGGAAATCTCAGTCGGGAGCCCTCTCCCTATGGGGCCCGCAGTTCACTTGTTTAATCCAAGCGGGTCGCCCTCAAACCTGTAACTGTCGTCACTTTTGGGCTCCTGAGGCCTGAATATGGAGAAATATCATGCGGGAGGTTTGTCTGTGAGTGAATTGCAAGGAAGTCTTAGGCGGGAACCCTCTCCCTATGGGGCCCGCACTTGATGTTTTCAATCCGAGCGGGTCATCCTCGAAACTGTATCTGTCGTCGCCTGTGGGCTCCAGGGATGAAGCCGAGAAGCTCGCCGCAGAGCTTGGCTTCGTGCTGCCACCCGCCTGAACGCGGCCGTGACTAGCTCGGTGCCTGCGGGGTTGTCCCAACGGTTTGCTCCCGCGCCCCAGCGGCTCGCGTGGTTGCCCCAACGGCCTGGCCCGCGGGGTTGTCCCAACGGCCGCGTGACACGGCCATTCGAGAATGCACCCGCGCTGGCCGAGGCGGCGACGGCGTCGAGGAACATCGACGCGCGCGCTGT